GATTTGCTTTCCGGGAAGGTGAGAGTGGAGACATATCCTGAGAAATGCAAGTGACATAAAAACAAAAGATGGCAATAAAAATTTATTTAAAAGAGTCCCCATACCAGAGGCAAGCAGCTAGACCTTCTGATCCAGGGGCGGGGTACCTTCGGCCTCAAGGCCACATTGGCCCTCTAGGTCCTCAAGTGCAGCCCTTTGACTGAATCCAAAGTTCACAGAACAAATCCTCTTGATAAAAGGACTTGTTCTATAAACTTGAACTCAAAACTCAAAAGGCCGCACCCAAGGACCTAGAAGGCCACAGGCAGCCGAAGGTTCCCCACCCCTGGAATCCTATCTAATAACAGATGTATGTTCAGCAAAGTGCTTTGTACACATTATTTCATCTTGCTGTTACCCAAAGGTTACTACTATATCTCTTTGTCAACAAAAAGGAACCAGAAGAAAAAGCTTTTTACCCTCTGGTCATCTTCCCATTGCTGCCTCTCCTCTTCAGTGTCAAAAGAGATTCCATCCTCTCCGTCTTCTCGCCTCCCTGAAAGATGATGAACTGTCAGCAACAAATGGTGCCCAGTCTCATCCTTGAGTTCTCATGCCTTGAGGAAAGGACACCCCAGAGCAGGGTGCCAAACTCAAAGAGAAACAAGGCTCAGCAATCTGTACACAAGGACCCCTGCAGGCTGCGTACTGTTTTAAAATATAATATTATTTGTTTTATTGTATTTTCTTATTTTGTTAAATATTTCCCAACTACATTTTAATCTGGTTCTGGCCTCATGTGGGAGTGCTGTGTATGACATGTTTGCCCCAGATCACTATTCTAGAAACATGGCCCTCACTCGGTTTTATCAAAGCTTCTAATCTCTAATCCTTATCACACTGTATACGTTACCTCGGCCTCTGGAAAGCCGAGGGGTAGACCCCAGGTGTCTTCTGTCATCAGCCCATTCATTGTACTTATATGATGGGGTAGGTAGAGGTGTGTCATCTGGGCACTTGCTCCTCACAGACCTGGGAAAAATACATATTGAGAACATTTACCAAGTTCTTCCAACAAAAAATATCACCCATGTTGTTACATTCCCCTTCCACTTATCTCTTCTTCTACTACAGATTCTTTGGCCCTCACCAGTTTTAATGGTTCTCTTCCAGACAATCTAACTGCCAGTGAAGTTGGGCAGCTAGGGAGCACAATGGATAGAATGGCAGACATGGAGTCAGGAAGATCTGAGCTCAAATCTGGCCTCAGATACTTACTAGCAGCATGACCCTGGGCAAGTCACTAAACTCTGCCTCAGTTCCTCATCTGTAAAAAATGAGCTGGAGAAAGAAATGGCAGACCACTCTAATATCTTTGCCATGGAAACCCCAAACGGAGTCACAAAGAGTCAAATGCAACTGAAACAAATGAGTAACAACAACAAATGAAGTTAGGCTATTTAGCCCAGAACATTACCTTTCTTTATCTCGAGTGGACGAAGACCGGTGACTCCTCTCAGAATCCCGATAGGAAGGTACTGGGGAGGGTGATTCCCACTGAGAACGCCGGGAGCTACCATATCCACTCTCCTCTTCTTCCCAATTAGAGCGTGAAGGGGTTGCTGCATCTGGCATCAAAGCAAAAAAGGTACATAATTATTCAATTTCACATCCCATCTAAAGGACCCTGCGCTAAGGCATAGGTTAAAAGGCACAGGTTAAAAGGCACAGTGGACCTGAACGCTATTGCCACAGAGATCTGGAGCCAGGATACTCAAGGCAATGAGAATGGAGATTACTCTCTTATGCCACATGCTAACCGTAAAGCTTACCTCTGGGTCGGTGTCTTGGGCTCTCTGGTTCACTCCTCCTGCTGCCGCGTTCTGAGCCTCCATCTCGGTCTGATCGGCTGCTGTGCCGACTCCTGTCCCGCTCATCTTCCGAAAGTTGGACACACATTAGAATGTAAGCTCCTTGAGAGTACGCATTGTTTCACTCTTTCTATTTGGAGCCCCAGCTAACATAGTGACTTGCACACAGAAGGCACGTAATAGATGGTTGGTAATTGCTGATATACAGGCATAGCACTAGTTTCCCCATAGCCTACCCTTGAGGGATGGCAGACCCTCCCCACCCCTCACAGGAAGGAGCCAAAGCCTTTACCTCTATCTCTCTTCCGATCATAGTCTCGATCCCGAGTTCTCTCCTTTTTCCGGTCCTTTTCTTCTTTGGAGGAGGCATAGACACCATGTTCCCGTCTTTCCCGTTCTCTTTGCCTGCTGCGCTCCCAGAACTCTTCACTCACACCACCAGGATGGGATGGTGTCTCTACCCGGGCAGCTCGATAATGTCTGAACCAAAAGGAGAGAGAAAACTGCTACTAAAAGACTTTTGTCACTAAAAGCTCTTGGTGGCTCCAAACCACATATTTTGCCTTTTATCTCGCTATCTTCCCAGAAGAGTCTTATAGGTAGCACTGACCATGTCAGAAGAGATCCTCGTCTCTTCTTAACTAGTTCTAGTCTCACCTTAACTGCCAAAGTCTCCCCCTGATCTTTAGTTAGTAATTATTCTTAAAAGTCTCCTTGAGATGATGAGAACGCTTAAGTTTTTGTGATCATTACAAAAATTTAAGAATTGGTGTTCATAGAGAACGTGAAGGTTTCAAGAAAAAAATTCAGGAATACACAAAAGCTATTGCAGTATACCACCACCAACCAGTTCATCACCTTTCTGTTCTACCATCCAAGTGATTTTACCTGTCTTTCCTGCTGCTTCGGCTGGCCTGGTCACCCCCTTCCTCCTCAGAATCCTTCTGATCATCCTTGCTTTCCTCCCAGTCCTTGAATGAAGAAACTCTGGACTTCTTCTTGTCTTCCCCATCATCCTTTTCCTCTCGTTCCCTCCGTTTTAATGCAGCCAAGAGATCTAATCCCAACAAAGAGGGACGAGGTGCAGGGGCTTTGAAAACATGTTGCTCACTAGCTGCACTTTTGGTCTTGCAAATGAGACCACCAACCTGTGTCTCTTGGTCAATGCCTTCTAGCCGATGAATTGAGGCCTCACCCTCATCACTGGTGTCTTCCATCACAGACTTAGGGAACTCTCTGAAAAGGAAAATCATCAGGCATCAGGCACTGAGAGAAAATGAATGAGCTTCAGAGTTCCCTAGAATAGCTTCAGTAATGAGTATACAAGAACTTCTTGAATTACTTTTGGCCTAGACCTAACCTACACATACAAAGACCCCCTCCCCCCAAAGGACTGTCCTCTACCCAAGACAGGTAGGCCTCACTAAGTTAAAGTTTTATTAGAACAAAATAAACATACCACCTACTCCCTACAGGAACTAAAAAGAATACCTTTTCAATTCCTCTACCCTTCTAATATAAAACCCAGAAAATTAACAATAGTAAATCCTTTTGTAATGCAGGTACTAGAAAAGAGGGCTAGCACAGTATTATCCATATTTCACCAGACATTTATTCTATATGTGATTATCTAGAACAAGAGGGACCCTCAGTATGTACCAATCTGTATAACAAAGTCGTGTTATGTTGCAATTTACTTAAACAAATTAGTAGAATTAAAAATGGTGTAGTAGTCTTCCTACACATTCAATGACAAAATCATCAATGACTCTAAAACCATTTAACTCTCTCTATGTAGTAACATTCTTACTTACACCTCATCCCACATCTACTTTAAAATACAGTCTTTTAGAGGTTATTACCTGAGACACCTTCAAAAGGCACACAGGACAAACCTAAATTATTGACCCAGTTCCTATTAACATACAGAGTTCTGTGAAAAAGCATTTTCATAGTCTGACATTCACAATATGGCCAAAAAATTTGGTGAATCATTTTGGTGTAGTGGAAAGTGTTGGATCTGGAGTCAGAGGGCTTGAGGTTAAAATCCTGGCTCTGCTACCTGCTATCTTATAAACTTTCTAGACCTCAGTCTCCTCATCTGTAAAATAACAGTACGTGCCCAGATGATCTCTAGGTTCCTTTTCGGGCACTGGAATTTTTTTTTTTAAGCCCAAGTCTGTATGAAACAATAAATTCAATCATAAAGAGAAGGGGGATGGGTGTCATGAATGGGTTGAAAAGAAGAGAAATCTATACTTGAGTCAAGAGAACTAAGCTGTAAGAACACTTCAACTACAGTTAATTACGTGCTTACTATAGCAGTCAACAGTTGGCAAGCATTTATTAAGCACCTACTAAGTGCAAGGCACTGTGATAAGCACTGGATATTCAAAGTAAGGCAAAAGCCAGTCTCGGCCCTCAGGAAGCTTCCAATCTAACGAGGAGACAACGTGCGAACAACTGCGTCCAAACAAGAGATTGAGTAAATTGGGGCGGGAGCGGGAGGAAGCTCAGCGCGAGGGAAGCTCTAGCGGGCCGTCTGCCCCAGCCCCCTCGTCTTACATGAAGACCCCAGAGGTCCAGAAACGTGACCCGACTGGCCCAAAGCCACCCCGCCGGCCTCGGGCCCCGGCCGTCTCTCCCCCCTCCCCAGGCCGGCTGCCTCCGCAACGAAAAGAGGGTCGGAAACGCAAGGGAGGGTCTGCGGGCCCCGGGAGGAAGGGACGCGTCCCTAACTTCCCGGGCCAAGGCAGGGCCGGCATCCGCGACACCTGGTCCGCAGCCCCGTGCGGAGCCTACCCTGGGGAGAAGAAGAAGCGGCCACTCACCACGCCACCCAAGGGGTCTTCGCGGCCCCACCACTCCGCTATTCACCCCACATCCGTCGCCTCAGAAGCTAGGGAAACGGAACGTCTCGCAAGCTGCCATTCTCGTCCCACAAAGCCCCGCGGCGTCCGCTCTATCCGGCCGCCCGCACCATCGAGAACGGCCCGAGAACCATAGAGCTGAGCCACAACCAAGCTTCCCCCCAGCGGGGAGGAAGCGCTAGAGCGGCCTCTTGCTGCGCCCCAATCACAGAGACTTCCGGCTTTCCCTGAAAGCCAATCGTACACCCCCGAATCCCACGGGCGAGGGAGCCCTGGGAGGCGTGGTCAGAATTGGCGGACCGTTGATTGGTAAATGTAGACGGAAGCGATTCAAGATCGAGGGATTTCCGGTCGGGCGTGAGTGAGATGAAGAGGATGGTGTCTTCCGTCAGTTGAGCTGCAGAGAGAGCCGGGAATCTGAGCGCGCCGACCGGGAAACTCGAGGTAGAAGCTGCGTGTGTGCGCATGCGCATCAAAAATGTTCTTCCGCTTCCTCTCCCATGACGCCCGCCTAAGAATTTGTCTTTTGAGGGGTTGCTAAGCAACGGCGGCTCGGGGAGGGTGGCTCGGGGCGTGTGCCTACAGACTAGGAAACCCAGGATGGAGGTGAGGAAAGTACAGAGGCCCCAGGGGCCTGGGTCTGGTCCGGTCTCTGACCCGAGGGTGACCTCGGGCCAGCCCTCTGGGCCTCAGTTTCCTTCGACTATAAAATGGGGGCGGGGGTGGCGATAGACTGAAAGAAATCATAAGTTCCCCTCCCTGCTCCAAACTCACCCCCCCTGCTGTGTGACAGCAGTGCCCCGTTGCTCTTTGCTGTCACCTCCCCCCTCTCTTGCTAGCACCGTTAATTAATTAATTGATTAATCGTATCCGTTGGATGCGTGGCCTTCTTGTGACCAGAGCATTGATCACTTGGTGGCCAGCCTGCTCGCCGCACTTGCCCCTGCTCGTTTTCTGCGTGGTGCTGGAGATCAAGAAGGCATGCACTGCATTGGGCAGACCTTTAGGGGAGGGAAGGGTGGACAACAGTGGGCATCGGCATCGTCAAAGTTAATGAATCGTTATTTGTTTGGTCTGCATTAGCCAATAGGTCCACCTTCCACTTGGGTATTTTGCAGTAGTTTTCTTAGCCCCTTGGCTAAGAGGGAACTTAGAGGTCATCTAGCCTAGCATTGTATAGGAAGGAGGAACATCAAGTGTGTAGCTTGCTCAAAGTCAGAAAGAAATAGAGCCAAAGCCAGGTCTAGGACTGTACTTAGCACAGAGATTGGCACAGAGCAGACACTGAAGAAATATTTATTGATTGACTCAGTTCTTTCCACCCAACTGAGTGCCTTTATTTCAATTAATAATTTATTTTGTCTTGCAGGATCAGGAAAGTACTTTGTTAAGTTATATAAATGTGAGCAAGTATCCCTGTGCTTTTACAAAAACTTCAGTCTTTGTGAAGGGAGTTGACAAGGATAGGTTGTCAGGGCTTTTTTTGAAGGATATGAATTTTAATCTAGGGTTTCCACAGACATTCCTGATGAGTTAGTGTGACATACGGTTTGAGGAAAAGTGTGTGTGTGTAAACTGTTATTCTCAGACTTGAATTCTTCTGACATCAAATAAAGTCATTCCAGTAGATCTCCTACTTTTGAATATGACTGTCTTTCAGCACTGACCCTGTGGCTTTATTTTAGGTCTGAGAGTGAGAACTAACATTTGGATTGGTTCAGGATGAGTCTCCTGCTACCCAAGCTTTCATCTAAAAAAGAAGTAGACCAGGCAATAAAAAGTACTGCAGAAAAGGTTTTGGTCCTCAGATTTGGAAGAGATGAGGATCCTGTCTGTTTGCAGATAGATGACATCGTAAGTATGTTCCACACAGAATTCTTTAGGCTTCGTATATTCCCCACTATCCCTATATAAAGTGATTGTAATGAAGGTAGTACCCAGAGAGATGTGTGCCATGATTATCATCCGTGCGGTTCTCTGCCATATCTGTGAACAGCAGTAGACCTATGAAAATATATTGACACAGTTGACTCATTTCTCCATTCATTCTGCATAGAGGCCTCACAAAGCACCTGAGATAACAGTATAAATTGTAGACAGGAAGAGAAGGCAAATGGGTGGAATGGATGAAATAAGCATTTATTAAGCACTGACTGTGTACTCGGCACTGTGATAAGTGCTTTTTCCAAATATTATTTCATTTGATCTTCACAACAGACCTGGGAGGAAAGTGCTATTATTGTACTCATTTTATGCTTGAAGAAACTAAGGCAAACAGGTTGACCAGGGTCACACTAATAAGTATCTGAGGCCAGATTTGAACTCAGGTCATCTTAACTCCTGGCACAGTGCACTGCCACTAGCTGCCCTTGATAAAAAGGAATATATGTGAACAGCTTCAGGCCCTCCCACGGAAGAGTGTGCCTAATATAGCATAACAGCAAAACTAAATTTTCCTAACCCTTGGTCCAATGTTTTCTTAACATACTACTCAGAAACACATCACAGAAACAACTAGCTTCTTCCTATTTTATAACCTCTATCTTTTTTTCAATTCAACAGCTTTCTAAGACTTATCATGACTTAAGTAAAATGGCTATGATATATCTGGTGGATGTGGACGAAACACCAATTTACACCCAGTATTTTGACATCAGTTATATTCCATCTACTGTCTTTTTCTTCAATGGGCAGCATATGAAAGTGGATTATGGGTAAGTGAAGTTGATATTACTTTGTCAATGTAATCTTAGAAATTTGCACTGTCAAAACAGTTATATTTGCTTGTTTGGTTTAAACATGATTTTTGTCACATGACAATCTTGAAATAATTAAATCTTGGAACTGATGTTTCCCCAGTTAGTATCCTCTATCTGAGTTTTTTCATTTCAAGGAAAAACTTAAATTTTTTCCTGAAAACCTTAGCTTTTTGCTAAACATTTCACGTATAAGTGATATAGTAATAATGAAAAATGTATGTATATATATATATATATATTTATAAAAATAATATATATACTTTCCCTTGAAAGTGGGAAGGATACAGCATTTTTAAAAAATCTAAAGGTACAATTTGACACTGTCATGAGAAGCAGCAGTTTTCCTGAGTATCATGAGTAAATGTCCATTTCCTACTAAGTTGGTTACATTTCAGTATAGAGTGACAGAATGATTTGTAAAATACTATCAGATTTTTGAATATGACTGATGCTAGGTAACTTCAAAGTTTGTACTAAGGAATTCTTTAACTTAAAATGTTTAAATATTTTTAAACTTCTAGGACCATTAATTTCTGTTTACAAAAGAATATAGTACACCTTATTTTATAACTTAAATATCCTTCTTCAACACGAAACTGATAGCAGTGCTTCTTATACAAAATGCAAATTCTTTCATTTATTTCTAGTTCGTTGCCTTTGTAGTCAATATCATTGACTGTTGCTGCAATTGAGTTATCTGTTTGTCTATGTTGCCATTTTGTATTTTCAACATAACTCCAAGTCATCAGCGATCATGCCTGCTTACCCATGCTCTATGTGTAGTAAGTGCTTTGGACAGTCAAATGTAACTTGGAAAATTTTGAAATTCATTCCCTTTTACATCAGACTTTGAGTTAAATCTTTCAAATGCAAAACTGCTATACTAAGATAACCCCCTAACAAATTGTATTCCAAGCCATATTTGCAGTTGAGGCCAGCACTGAGCCTCTTGTGTACAGTCTCCCTGTTAGTAGTTTGTCATTCTAGTTCTTCAGAAAGTTTTCAGTCGGTTGGTCTGAAGCACTTCCAAATGGGGTTCTTTCTTACACTGTTTCCTTTAGGTCTCCAGATCACACTAAGTTTGTGGGAAGTTTCAAAACTAAACAGGACTTCATAGACTTGGTTGAAGTAATCTATCGGGGAGCAATGCGAGGAAAACTTATCGTCCAAAGTCCAATCGATCCCAAGAACGTTCCTAAATATGACCTTCTTTATCAAGGCATTTGAAACATCGACTTGAACCATAGTTGAAGAGAGAACCGCAGTTGAAACAACACACGTGACCAGATATGCTGCTGTTGTGTGACCCTGTTTTCCTGAAGAGATCACACACCAGAGAGGGGAGGAGGGTAGAAAAGGTTTTAATTTTATATCAAATTCTAAAATGGTGTCAGACCCCTGATTAAGAAATCATATTGAAATTGTTGATTCGGGGGATGGGGGAGGTGGCTCATCGCTGATAGGCAAGTTTTGTTCTAGAGCCTTTGAAGTGTTGTAATAGCTTGAAATCTATATAAATTTCTGCAACAGTGCCCTTGTGTAGAGCATAAAGTAACACTCACTATTTGCACTGCTCTGTATGAGGTGGTTCTTATGGTAGCTGGAGGCTCAGACTCTCACCATTCTGCGCCTCATCTGATTGAACCTTTCATGGGATGAGTCTCTCCTAGCAGCCCAAGGCTCAAAAGAAGGAGAAGCCAAACTGGATTAGTAACAGCGGTGGGGAATCACCTGATTGGCTTCTGGACTTCTGGAATCTCCGATTCTTCCAGAGCCTCAGTGTTGCACCCTCTTTCCTCAAGAAACACTGTACCCCCATTTCTACAAGGATCATTACTGCAGTCACATCTCTTCGTGAGCATTTGTGGGAGTACATCTTTGGAGTCCTAATTTCCACAAATAGTTCTTCCTTAATTAAAGGCCTAATTAGGAGAATAAGGACCAGATCTGTGATTTCATTAACAAATGAAACTCTAAGATGAGGAAATTCCTTCTCCCAATGCAGGTAGCACTTTCTCTGCAACTCATACTCCTCAAATGTTGCCTGGAGGACCAAAAATTTAAGTGACTCACCCAGGGCCACACAGTCAGTGTATATAGAGTCAAGATTCAAATTCAGGTCTTCCGGGCTCCAAGGATACTTCTATTATGCCACCCTGTCTAAACAGAGTAAATAGTAGCTCTCTATAGTATTATTTTCCTTCTGAAGACTGAATGGATGAGAGCCAATAAAATAATTATTTTCTGCTGGCTTTATTGTTCCACAAGCTTTTGAAATTATTAAACAACTGATATGTGAAGATATCAGATATACATATATGTCTATATATGCACACATATGTACACATATGTATGAAGGGAATTTAATAGGGAAACAAAATAGGCTTTTGTGGAGACAATATTATCTTATGGTAGGAAATTGTACTTGAAAAAGGAGAGTATAATTTGAAGGGGGCAGTAGGATTAAACAGGTGGTGGTGTTGGGCTATCTGTGACCTAAACACTGAGAGAGACAGAAAAAGAAGAACTTTGTCATTGAAAGAGTTCTGGGATTTTCTTCTCTTCTTCCAGCCTATTTGAGCTGTAAGTGAACTTAGGTCTGTATCAAACTGCTTCATTTTCTAGGTTATTGTCATAGCTGTCTTCCCCTAGACTAACTACCAAACTCATAGAAGCAGCTGTCTGCATTCATTGACTATACTTCCTCACATTCTACTCACTTCTCAGCCCTATGAAATGGAGCTTCCTAATCCATCATTTGATTGAAACTGCACCCTCAGGCTTATCAGTGGGTCAACAAACATTTTTATTAAGCATTCACTACATGCTGGTGATCTCTTTAACTGCTAAGTCTGATAGCTTTTCTCAGTCCTCACCCTGCTTGACTGCAGCATTTGATATTTGTTACTACCCACATCTTTTTGTATTGCTTCTATTCCTTGGGGTTTTGTGACATCGCTATCTTCCTGATTCTCCTCCCACTTGTCTGATAAGTTGTTTGCTAGAACATCACCCTGTCCCATCACTTTACATGGCTGTGCCACAGGGCTCTGTCCTAGGTCCTCTTGTCTTTCTTTATACCTTCTCTCGGTGATCTTATCTGTTCCCTTTGCTTCAGTTATTATCTCTATGCAGATAACTCCGAAATCTACATATCTTGCTTTTATATTTCTCCTGAGTTCCGATCCCACATCACTAGCTTCTCCCTAGACATTTCCACCTCAACGTGTCCAGAATGGAACTCCGTGTCTTCTTCACCAAAGCCCACCCTTGTCCTCATTTCCCTGTATCTTCAAGAATACCACCATACTTCTGGTTACCCGGATACCCAATAGGAAGTCATCTTTACCTATTCCCCCTCTGGCAATAATGCCTCTCTCCTAATCCCAATCCAATCAATTGCTAAATCCGGTTGATTCTAACTCCAGAACATTTCTCTAAGCTGTCACCTTGGCTCCATTCAGACATTGCCAGGGAAGGTTCTCATCACCTCTGACGTGGACTGTTGTGATAGCCTCCTATGGGTCTCCTCTCAAGTCTTTACTTTTTCAAACCTAGCCTCCCTAAAGCATAGAGGTTGCTGCTGAAGATGCTTTGGCAGCTCCCTATTGTTTGTAGCATGAGAAACAAACTCGTATTTGGCATTTAAAACCCTGGCTCCTACCTTTCTTTCCAGACCATTTTCATATGGCTTGCCCTTTCTTTCTGTTCCAGACAAACTGGCCTGTTCACTGTCCTCTGTGTGCCTCTGAACAAGCTGTTCGCCATGCCTGGAATGCTCTACCATTCAAGATCTCCCATATGATTTCTTTCCTGATTCCTCCGATTATTAAGTGATCTGTGTACATGTTGTTTTCCCCCAAGTAGAATATAAGGTCCTTCATATTTCCAGGGCCTGCCACAGAGTGGGCACTTAATAAATGCTTGTTTAATTGAGTTACAGATACAGAAATTGAGGATTAGAAAAACTTATCATTATGCCTGAGGCTCTACAGCTAGCTTCTAGAATGTCTGGGAATAGAACCTAGACCTTTCCAGTCTTTTGCCATTAGACCTGCTGCCTTGTATTCAATAAAGTGCCAAAAGCCCAAATCTAAATAGAGAAAACATTTTCTCTGTCTAAATTAAATTAGATTAAATTAAATTCATTCTAGCAATAATGATGGAGCTTTGACCCAAGGTCTTTCTAATAGGGCTTTGATGTTTTTTCATGAGGAGAGTTCTTATTTGCCAGTGGTTCTGCCATTTGGATAATTTTTCACTCTTTTACTTGCTTCCCCAATGGACTCTAGCCCAAAAGGCTGCCCAGAATTGTACATGTGAGGATGACCAATGGACCAAGACTTAAAAGGAAGAGTACATGAGTATATTCAAGAGAACACTTTATTGTTTATACTTAGCTGGACTAGCTGCCACTAATTTACAGATATTTTTTGTGACATCCAACTTGCCTAGCCATATGTGAAATCTTGCCATCTTGTGCAACTCATTACAAGCCTTGAGCTAAAAGCAGAGTTCCAGCCTGCTTCCTGTCTAGTTGGTGGCGATTGTCTCTTGGATCCAGTCCAGGATGGAAGGCACTTTCACGTAAACGCCATATTCAGCCACTGCACAACTCTTATCAAAGGACAGAATACCTGCTGCATACCAGGTATCATCATCCTCATCACGAATGGCAAAGGCACCACCAGCATCACCATAGCATGTGTCTTCGTTGAATCGGGTCAGACCGGCACAGAATGTATGTTGGTTCAATATGGGCTGGACTCCAACAGGACTCTTTTTTCCCTTCTTTTCTGGGTCTGTGCTGCCTTCATAGTGTTCTATACATTTGTCGTTGTCAGCCACAGGCAGCATGACATACTTCAAACGTTCAGTAAAGGCAAAATTGCTATTTCTTCCCCAACCAGAGACATAGCCTACACGCCCCACTTTTATGTAGTCTTTCTGGGGCAAGCAAATGGGCATCACCTTCTCATTAACAAGTACTTTACTTTTAAGTTTGATGAGTCCGATGTCCACTTCGGAGTGGTTGGGGTATAGAATCACTCGATCAATGTCCACAGGCTTCTTCCCCAGGAAGAGCTTCAGGGTAGGGGTGATGTCTTCGAGAGTGGCATTTTCATCATGACTCAGAAAGACGTTTTTAGCTGTGGTCAGTAACCATTGATCGCTAATCAGAGTAGCTCCACTGCTGAGATTTTCCTGGGAAACCATGTGACCTTGCCAGGGAAAACTACCGTTGGCATCTAGTGAGCCCCCAATGATCCGCTGTAGTGGTTTGGCTGGAATCACAGGTTTTCCACATACTGATAGGAAAGAGAAGAAAAGCAAGGGCTAAAAGATGAAAGGGATTCCCAATCTGTGAGACAGGGTTAAAATGCCATTATAATGAAAATTTTTGTACAAGAAAGATGTTCGAGCCCTAGCCAATGACTGCCTTATTTAAGCAGCATTCATTATCAGATCCATTTGGACAGTCCCTTGGGGTTCATCTGAAAGAGTTCAGCCTGGGGTAAAGGATAATTCGTAGTAGCCTTGGTCCGAATTGAGTTTAGTGACACACTCATCCTACAGGTTGACCGTATTCTACCTAGAAAGAGGTGGAGAATTGGTGGAACAGCCCCTAAGGCTTCTTGCTCACCTAAGAAATTTCTGCATATACTTGAGGAGTCAAGAAAAAACTCAGGCTTTTATCTAATCTATAGCTTTATTGAGAGGTATCCTTGATTCATTCATGGCTTCCCTTAAATTTTTCTTCCTAAATCTCTCTTATCTTCTTTGGTTCTGGAACTCTAGATTTCTGAAGCAGAAGACTGAACATTTTTATCTGTCAGTCAACAAGCCTTTGTTAAGTGCTTGCTTCCTATGTGTGAGTCATTGTGCTAAATCTGGGAGACAGAAAGGAGCAAAATGTCTTTGCTGTCAAGAGACTCATATTTAACTGATGTGGGTCCCTACATGTCAGCTCTAATTTATTTTGATCAGATGTCAATACTGTCCCAACTTTATCAACAGATAACTGCTCAATTCTCTACTTAGTTTGTTGTAGACCTTGTTTTTCTGAGAGCTTCAAATTCCCTTTCTCTTGAGTAAGCCAGATGAGATACATCATTGCAACAGATGTGTGACCTAGCTTTTGATCCATGCCACCCAATTTGCTTCCCACACTATTTTTCTTCACTCTCATAGTTTCTTGTGCCTACCTGCTTCACATGTAGGTAGTTTTTCACCAACATCCTTGTTAGTCCACTGTTTCTCGTTATTTAAGGTATAGAGGCCTGAGGAAAAATATGAAAAAGTGCCAAAAAAAGATTGAAATCAAGCAGGTAAATTCTGAAACAGAACTACTAAAACTGAGAACTGGAATGAGCACAGAAAAGCCCCAGATGCAGAAAAAAAAATAAAAGAATTATGCTAGGATCCATTCAACAAACTTTTTGAGTGCCTATTATGTGAAAGGTTCTGAGAATACAAATATAAAATAAAGGATAATCCCTCAAAGTGTTTACAGTATAGTAACTGAGCAAGGGTTCTTCGTCTTATATGTGCCATGACTTGCTTTGGAGGCCGGCAATCTAGTGAAGGCAGTGGACCCCTTCTCAGAGCCATGTTTCTAAATTCATTTTTTTTTAAAATAGAGATTACAAAAGAAACTAATTCTTCTGAAATGTATTTATCAAATTTCTTTTTAAGTTCACAGACTCCAGATTAAAAATCCCTGCTAAAGAATGCCAAATATTTCTTCTTTTATCCCAAAGACACTCGTATACATGACCTCATTAGATCCTCACAACAGCCCTGCGACAGATTGGGTGGTATTATCCCTATTTGAAGAAATGGGAGAAGTTGTAACATCCCCAGGATTACACTAGTAGGACTAATTCCTCATGGAAGTCATGGACTTCTGGAAATTATGACTCTGGATCACTGACTTTTATCCCACTTCTGAAGGAGGAGTGTATCAAGGAACAGTCATTCAAGGCTTACCATCCCCATCACTTTTCAGTCTGTAGAACTTGTCACATTTATAGCGGACTGCATGCTCGACATAGCCATGTTCAATAGGAGGGGGTCTTGGGCAGATGTCATCTGTAAGGAGAGAGGGTGAGGAGGTCAGGTTAAGACACCAAAGCAGAACCCCACCAAAGCTTAGATGAGAAAAAAGACCCCATTGCTCAACCAAAAGCATGAAATAAGCAGCCACTAAACAGTAGGGTCCTTAATACTTTACATGAAAGTAAAAGTTAAGATATTGATGAGAGAGACACACTTGCCCCAGAATGCAAGGGATTCGACATTAAAAACAAGATTAGTCTTCTCTCTAGGGCTGCAGATTCATCGAGATGGTAATAGTACTCGGCTTTGTCAAGGTCACACCAAGTGCTATAAATCGGGGAGCGGCAGAACCGATGGTCATCTACCTCGCTTCTGCTCTTCACAACCCTCCCAGGCCTTACAACATGCACACCTACTTTCCATATCCAGCACATCATTTTGGGCATCTGCAGACAGCAGTCCCCAGAGAAGGAGGGCAACGACAGTATTTAGAATCCTATGGAAAGAAAATGGACAGAGTGGCAATGCCAGTCTTTCCTTTCCCCAGTGAAAGGCTGACCCCCAACACAGACATAGGCATATAGCATGAAGCAACCTGAGAAGAAAAACAGGGCTTCTAGGACCAATTCAGTTCAATAAGCATTTATCAAGCACCTACTGTAAATTCTCTAGGCACTGTTAATATGATTCTTTTAAAAAATCCAATCCCTCCCCTTAAGGAGCCTTCATTCTACTGGGTGAGAAGTTGATTCCCTGGAAGAGATCCCCTGGATCCCCAGTTGCCACCTGCTACAAACCAGCCCATATCTGTATTGAAAGTGAGCAGCTGTAGAAAGGGCATAAGAAAATCCATAACTGCTGTCGGTTGGCCCTAATTTCTGGCAGCATCCAAGAGACAAAATATAAAAAGATACACAAGTCATCCGTGAATAGTAATAAATTTTTTTTAAACTGGCATTTGCCAATAAAGTTTACAAGTCATTTTTCATGCATCATCTCATTTGAGTTTCACAACAACCCTGTGAGGTAGTAACTATCCCCATTTTTTTTAAACAAACCTGTGGTTTCATTGGCCTAAGAAGCTCCTCTGCCAATACAGATTGGTGCTATCTCTGCAACTTTAGCACTAAGAAGCACTCACCAAGGGCTCATAACCAGTGTGGTCCCACAACCAGTATTGGCAAAGAAAGGACCTGAAGCCAGCTCTCTATCCAGTACAACATTTTATAACCAAGGAAAGGGAAGAGAAATCCCAGAAACACTAGCAATTCCCCTTCTCCTTTAGTCAGATAGTACTTAAGATACTTAACCATATCTCCTGTCTTGCCTATCCCTCTGATAACCATCCTGACAGCATGGCATGCAGAGAGATTCCAAATGGATCTAGATCAAATTTAAGGAGGTGGGTCAGTACAAATCTCCTGGCAACCCTTGTTAAATGGAAACCCAGTGGTCTCAGGGAAACGAACCTTCCTCTTGTACTGTGTTACCTTGGGAAAGACACCAAATGACATCAGAAAACACTTGCTAAGAAATAACAAAATGAGGGACAGCAAATCCTTCAACAAGTACATAGTTCATTTGCCCTGTTTGCATGGGGGGCCCATTTGAATTCTACTCCTTCCATGCCTAGTGCCTCAAGCAAGAAGAAGAATGAGAAAAAGAAACAAAAAAAGGGGGAAAGGGGGGAAAATAAAGAGGGGAACAAGAACACCTACCTCATCTTGGGTTTGTGTTGTGTCTGAGAGAAGAGTGCTGTGAAAGGGGTGGCAGCACTCTTTTTATCCCTCCATTGCTGCACCCAGCCCCCTTGCAGTTTTGCAATTCCAGTGACCACATGGCCTTGGCCTTGTTGAGGCCATTGGCATTGCTCAATAGCAA